GAATATCCTTTCCCATTCTGTAAACTGTCTTTGTCTTTTGGTCACTGTTTTCTCCTGTGTTTCTTTATCTGGGTCATTTTCCCCTCCTCTAGTCTTGCATACCCAATTTCTGTTATCTACAGCCTGAGTGATCCTGTTAAAGCCACAGTGCATTAATTTTCTTTGCAGACCCTTCAGTGGTTCCTCAAGTTTTTGCGGAACAAAAATTACAGTTTTACACTCATGGGGCCTTACACAGTCTGTTTCCCACACCAACTTTCTGATTTTATTTCCTACTATTTTAAGCCACCCTGACTTTCTTTTTTCCTTATCAAATGCAGAAGACACCATCTGCCTCAGAACCTTTGTACTGACTGAAATACACTCTCTTAATATCTGTGGAACAACCTTTCACTCCTTTAAGCCTTTGTTCAAATGTTACCATTTTTATAAGCCTTATCCATCTCATTTGAGATTTTAACACATTTCCCTTTACAAATACTCTTATTTGTTCTTTATATCACATTTCTTATTCAAGTAAACAGTACTGTGTAGGTTTACTGTGTTTCTTTGGTTTTTTATCTTTTAGAGGCTTAGAGAGTCAATGACTTTGTTCATTGATGTAATTTTACAATAGATAGTATTTGACTATATTTTTTATTGAACAAAGAATAGTATTTGAGAAACTCCTGAATATCATGTGTGCATGTGTGTGCATGTATGATTTTAGTAGAACTGCTAATACAAATTTTATTTAGATATTTCTTAAATTTGGATTGTGGAGAATGTAGAATATGTTAGCAAAGGCACTTTATGCTTTATTATAGCTATTTCTATATGGGACAAAAAAAGACGAGCATTTCTGGACATGTGCACCAAAATTTAAATATGCATATTAGAATTTTTTTAAATTCAGCTGTAAAGAAGAAATTATAGACATTTTAAAATTTAAGTTACTAATTTTAGTAATTCCATTTAAACTTAGTAGAAATTTTTCTCACATTCCCTTTAAAACATTCTTTCTCTTGTAGTTTGAATTAGAGAAATAATTGATCTTTAGGTGAAAAGTTATAGTCAGGTATAGTGTTCATTCCTAAAGCAATTAATCTAAAAAGTTGCATTATTATTTGATCACTTTGGGATAAACGTATCTATAAACACTTTCTCCTATTGAATACATGCTTTTTGAGATATAACTTGGATCTAGTCAATGTAATATGTTCCCCTTGCAGCACTGAGTGTTATCCTTAGAAGCCCCCTAGCACCACAGGGCTCAAGCAGTACTGCATATTGGGCCCAAATATCCAATGGTTCTGAGATTCACTGGGATGGCCCTTGGCCCCTCTGAACACCACTTGGGAGTTCCCCTCTCCTGCTTGCTCTGTCATAATAAGGATGGCTATATGATACTGTTATCGATCTTATTAATCATAAAATATTAAGTATTAATTTGTTATATAGTATTTTAATACAACCATATGTGGGGCTAGCTTGCCAGGCTCTTCCGTGCGGGCGGAATACTCTCGGTAGCTTGCCAGACTTTCCGAGAGGGATAGAGGCTTTTGGGGTGACCTCTAATCACCCTTGTAGGTGTTACCATATTTGAACCCTATCAAATATGGTACGACAACTCCAGAAGATGGGTATTTAGTGTCTTATGATGTGTCACGCGGCCGCAAGTGGCCGCGCGGGTCCGGAAAGCGTCCTGGAGTGTGGCGACGGCTGGGTAGTGGAAGTAGTGTCGAGAGTGGAAGTCTGCCAGTGGGGTATTTATCTGGGTAGGGTGGGTCTCCTGTGCACAATTTGATCCCTGGGTGGTTGATGGAAGCAGACAGGGCAGGGTAGGGTGGGGCTCCTGATTAGAATCCCTTTGTCACCTGTGGTGGTGGGAGCAAGCAGAGAGCTCTGTCCCTGGGTCCGCCGAGCCTGGAGTCCAAGGTCTCAGAGAGTTCCGCTTATCTTGTTCTGTGGGTCTTCAGTTGTGCGTGGGTCTCGGCCGGAGCTCCCGCGCGGGTCCGGAAAGCGTCCTGGAGTGTGGCGACGGCTGGGTAGTGGAAGTAGTGTCCTGAAGCCCCATTCGCTCTCAATGGAACGACCATCTCCGAATGCAACAGCTATGTGTACCTAGGTCGAGAGGTCAACATGACAAATGACCTGGCACCTGAGCTGCGCAGGAGGAAGAGAGCGGCTTGGAACGCCTTCAAGAACGTCGAAGAAATAGCTAAGAGGACGAAGAACCTCCGGCTCCGGGCACATCTCTTTGATTCCACTGTTCTTCCTGCATTAACATATGCCTCAGAGACCTGGGCCCTACGCAAACATGATGAGAACGCCATTCAGGTCTCCTAAAGAAGAATAGAAAGAGCTATGCTTGGAATATCACGTTTCACTCAAATGAGAGAACGAATCCGGAGTTCTGACATCCGTCGACGATCAAGGATCAGGGATGCTGTCTCATTTGCCAAGGTGTCGAAAATCAGATGGGCTGGTCACATAATGAGATTTAAAGACGACCGTTGGACTAGAGCTGTTACTGATTGGATTCCACGGGATGTCAAGAGACCGCGTGGCCGCCCACCTACCAGATGGTCAGACTTCTTCGTCAAGATCATGAACGATCTGTTTGAGGCTCTTCATATTCCTGGAGCAAACAGATGCCATTGGGCTACACTAGCACGCGACAGGGACAAATGGAGACGTTACTGGCGCCCGCTCGAGCAAATCGACGACTAACGGGAAGTTAAGTGATTAAGTGATATGTGGGGCTGGAGCAATAGTACAATGGGTAGGGTGTTTGCCTTGCACGAGGCCAACCTGGGTTCGATACCCAGCATCCCATATGTTCGCCCAAGCACCACCAGGAGTAATTCCTGAGTGCATGAGCCAGGAATATCTCTTGTGCATTGCCAGGTATGACCCAAAAAGCAAAAAAAAAATAAAAAAAATACACCCATGTGTTTATGTACACACACAAATATAATCAAATGGTGAAATAAGGTTTGTAATAATAGTATTTTAAAGCAGCTTTAAGTTCCACATATTGTATGAATATTGAGAACTTAGTCACTTAACTTCCCGTTAATCATCGATTTGCTCGAGCAGGCGCCAGTAACGCCTCCATTTGTCCCTGTCGCGTGCTAGTGTAGCCCAATGGCGTCTGTTTGCACGGCATTTTGTCCACTGTATTATACTATCTGTCTAGCCACATTTTTCTTTACATAAGCTGTGGTAGGATACTTTAACTATTTTTTATTTCATAAGCCATTTCAACCACTTGCAAGTGCACAACTCAAAGCTTTAAAATGTTGTTTTGGGGCTGTAGTGATAGCACAGCGTGTAGGGCGTTTGCCTTGCACATGTTCTATCCAGGTTCTGTCCCCATTATTCCATTTGGTGCTTTGAACACCAACAGGAGTATTTGATTCCTGAGTGCAGAGCCAGGAGTGACCCCTGAGCATTGCTGGATATGACCCAAAATGCAAAAAACAAAGAAACAAACAAACCAAAAAAACCTTTTAAATGTTGTTAGAACCATTAGCACTATCTATATCAAAGCATGATTACTGTCCCCAACATAAAATCTGTGACCATTAACAGATACTTATCATTTTTCTCCCTTCATTCCCTAGAAATTTCCATTTCACTATCTGTCCCTATCAGTTTGCCTATATTAAATATTCCATATACATAAAGACATACATTATTTGTTCTTTTGTGTCTGGCTTATTTTATTTGCTCGAGCGGGTGCCAGTAACGTCTCCATCTGTCCCTGTCGCATGCTAGTGTAGCCCAATGGCATCTGTTCACTCTGGGAACATGAAGAGCCTCAAACCGATCGTTCATGATCGTGATGAAGAAGTCTGACCATCTGGTAGGTGGGCGGCCACGCAGTCTTTTGACATCCTGTGGAATCCAGTCGGTTACAGCTCTAGTCCAACGGTCGTCTTTAAATCTCATTACGTGACCAGCCCATTTGATTTTTGACACCTTGGCAAATGAGACAGCGTCCCTGATTCTTGATCGTCAACGGATGTCAGAAATCCGGATTCTTTCTCTCATTTGAGTGAAACGTGATATTCCAAGCATAGCTCTTTCTATTCTTCTTTGGGAGACCTGAATGGCGTTCTCATCTTGTTTGCGTAGGGCCCAGGTCTCTGAGGCATATGTTAATGCAGGAAGAACAGTGGAATCAAAGAAATGTGCCCAGAGCCAGAGGTTCTTCGTCCTCTTAGCTATTTCTTCGACGTTCTTGAAGGCGTTCCAAGCCGCTCTCTTCCTCCTGCGCAGCTCGGGTGCCAGGTCATTTGTCATGTTGACTTCTTGACCTAGGTACACATAGCTGTTGCATTCGGAGATGGTCGTTCCGTTGAGAGTGAATGGGGCATCAGGAACGAGGCTGTTTCTCATAAACATTGTCTTTGTAAGATTCAGCTGTAGTCCTACCTTTCCACACTCACGGTCAAAGTCGGCCAGTATTTGTGCCGCTTGGCTGATGTTTGGTGTTATTAAAACAATGTCATCAGCAAAGCGGAGGTGGTGTAGTTGCTGACCATCTGTCTTCACTCCCATTCCTTCCCATTTCAGTCGTTACATGATGTTCTCGAGGGTGGCACTGAAGAGTTTCGGTGAAATGGTATTACCCTGCCAAACCCTTCTCTTGACATTGATGATTACTTCTTTGTAGAATGGTGAGATCCTGGTAGTGAATCCGCAGTACAGCTCACGGAGGATCTTGATGTATTGGGCTTGAATGCCCTGATTGGCTAGGGCTTCAATAACCGCTTCCGTCTCAACAGAATCAAAGGCCTTCTTTAAATCAATGAACGTTAGAGCATTCTCACTAAAGGAGAGTTGTTTTTGTTTTGTTTTTCCCTTTGGAATCATTGCCCTAGAAGTAATACAGGTTAAGTTAGAAGTAAGGAAGATAAAAGATGTAACTTTTTCCTGTTCCTGATTACCTACCCAGTTGCATTTTGCTTTAAGCGATAACATGCTTTGCTCTCTGATTTTCTTTATTCTAGTCTTTGCAAGAGAAACTTTCTAAAGAGAAATCAACCACTCAAAAGATGGTGGAAGAACTGGAAAAGAAAGAAAAAAACCTACAGAGATTAACAAAAACATTACTTGATGTGAGTGAAATTTAAATTTCTTTCAAAGGACAATTCAGTTTAAATCTATTTAAGTTCAAGCAATTGCTTATTTTGTATGTATTAATAGAACATGTTTCAATTGAATGATTTTGATGTGACCATTAAATCTGTTAGGTTTTTTAATGAAAATATAGTACAAAAAGTACAAACTTATTTTTCTTATGTCTTAAAATACAGTTTCACAGACTTAGTTACAGAAGCAAAGCCATGTTAGATAGAGGTATATCCCAAAGTCATCACCTGAGACATAAATTGAATAATTTTTGAAATTGTCCTTGAAAATCTTTAAGGGAGTATTGACTTTTAATCATTGGAATATATGACACTTTCTTCATTTTATTAAAAGATGAAAAATACTTACATTTAAAGACATAGGAAAAAAAAGTTTATCTTTTTTCTTGTTTTTTCCTTCTTTTGTGGTCCTGGGCTTGAACCCAGGCCTTGTACAAGGCAAGTCCTTTGCTTCTGTGCTGTATCCCAAACTCATCCTCAAAACTTTTAATTTAATTCAGTTGTTTCATTGTTCTCACATTTTGCCTCAGAATATATGAGACTGCATTACAAAATTCGGGACACTTTTCTTCATACAACTTGTCCTGTTCATCAACTAGAATAGTCACTGTCACTTTCCTCCTGTTGTTCATTGATTTGCTCGAGCAGGCCCAGTAACATCTCCATTTTGAGACTTGTTGTTACTGTGTTTGGCATATTGAATACCTTACAAGTACTTGCCAAGCTTTGCAGTGTGGGCGAGATACTCTCGGTAGCTTTCCAAGCTCTCCGAGAGGGGCGGAGGAATTGAACCCCACTTGGCCGGGCTGGCTGCGTGCAAGGCAAACACCCTACCGCTGTGCTATCGCTCTAGCCCAACTATAATAGTATATAATATATTATTATTAATTAGTTATTGATATGTACACACAGATATAATACCAATAATAGTAATTCTTTGATATTCCATAGTGCCTAATGTATATTATGATTTCCCCACTTATCGGCCAGATAGATCAGTGGGCTGGAGGATGTGCTTTGCATGTAGGAGGATCCAGGGTCAGTGCTACATACATCCCCCGCAACACCAGTAATGAATGCTGAGCACTTCTGGGTGTGAATCAAGAAATTCCCTCCACCTAACACCTCCCTCAAAAAGTTTTCCCAACTACTTTGCCAACTTTTTGTGTAGTGACTTTTGAAAGCAACATTAACAAGGGCCATGAGTTACGTTTCATTTTGACTTAAATTTGACATCCCTTTCCTCTTTCTTGCTGTTAACTTACTAAAGAAAGTGGGCTTATTGTCTTACAGATTTGTAGATTGGCTAGATTCATCTGATATTATCTTGGTCTTTACCTCCATTTCTTTTAAGAATGAGTGACATCAGATTCAATTCAAACATTTTTTTTGACATGAACACTTTGTAAGTGGTCAGAACCACCTACAGATCATCAAATTATTTTATAATTATCAAATTATATTTAGCTTATTTCAGGTAAGGGATATATCCTAATTTCTTTGGTTAATGTGGCGACAGACTGATTCTTTCCATTTTAATGTCATTACCTCTACAGACTGTAAGAAAGTCTGGACTGACACTTTTATTACTTTTTAAATGAGCAGTTTACCAGTAACCTTTTGTTCATAATTTTAGCATCCACTTAATGATCATTGTCTGAATCATCAGATGATTAAAAGAATGTTATTTTTTCCAATTACAATCATTACTTTACATTTAGTAGGCGGGGGTCACACCCACCAACTGGCCCCCAGGCACCATGTAATCCCATCAACGGGCAAGACCTAGAGACTATACAACCCAGCTCCCAGAAGCGTGCGGTATCTCATTCTTGCTTTGGATAACCTGGCAAGCTACCGAATGTTACCTGCCCACACGGCAGAGTCTGGCAAACTCCCCGTGGTGTACCCAGTATGCCAAATAACAATGATGGGTCTCATTCTCCTAACCCTGAAAGAGCCTTGAATATGGCACTTTTTAGAATCTCAGGCTAGGACAAAGGAGACCTTACTGGTGCCTGCTCGAGGCAATCGAAAAACAATAGGATGATCGTGATCATGACTTTACATTTGTTGCTTTCATCTATTAAAATATTTTTGTCATCAACTCAGGCAAATTGATTTTGTCTGATATACAATTCCAACAGGAAAGTGAATCTTACAGAATGTTACCTTTACTTTGTAACTTTCATAATGAGCAGCAGCAGTCTGGGGGGAGCCAGCTCCTTTCACAAAGTGAGGACAGCTCTCCTTTCCCTCTGCTTCCCTTTTCCTTTGTTGTTGCTTGCTGTGTTGCAGTTTAAAAGGGTCACACAGCATTCTTGGTTGAGGTACTCACAGGTCACTGTACACATGGTTGCTATGCTCACACACTTGTTCTCAATGCTCACAAGGGCTCACCTATTTTAGTTTTGTTGTTTAGACACACCCTGTTGCAATGTACAGGAGACTGAACACTGCTATGACACTGGGTTCATGAACAACAGTGCTACTGGAACCCCACTTTTCATGTGGAGTAATGCCAGGCTTTGTAGCTACAAAGGAGGTTTTCAACAAAAAAGTTTATCCAACTTTTTTTTTGTTTTCTTTAATAGATGTAGTCATCATGAGTTCTACTGGTAATTCTAATTCAGACGAATAATTGAGTTCAATTAAGTTCAAATATCTTGGGGTACAGATTTCTTCTTTGATTTTGTACTTGTATTTCTTTTTCCCTTACACTGAAAAATTTGATCCATGTCAGCTTTAAATAACAATTAACTTTATTGCTTGCTACTGAGAGTATAGCTACAGAATGAGGTTCAAGGATATTTTGTAGTTCTTTTTGTTCTTGTGATAGGTCTTAGAGAAAAATATACCCATGATCAACATGCTCTTACGTTGGTCTGGAAAGGAGATTGTCTGGGTTTCTGTTTCCTCTCTGAGGTTTGCTATAAGGCATGAGGTGATGCAGAGGAACTTTTTGCAGTTTTTAATTTACTTTGTCTACTATGCAAGTGTAGAAAAGTTTTATTAGTGTACATATCTGACTAGAGTTTTGCTTATAGATTTGGGGGGATGTTAGCCTTTTGAGTAATCATATTAACAACCTAATTTTTGTTTATCCATTTAGAACCAAAGACAAACAGAAGAAACATGCTTTTTCCTGGATCAGGACCAGGCTTCTGACCAATCCAGGCCTTCTAAAAGACCCCTGTTTGATTTGGATGTGATTGATCAGCTCTTCAAGGAAATGTCCTATTGTTTGTTTGACTTGAAAGCTTTGTGCAGTATTCTTAATCAGCGTGCTCAGGGCAAGGAACCTAATCTCTCATTGTTACTGGGAATCAGATGTAAGTGAACATGTCATGCCTTTACTCTATAGTTTAGCAGTCAGAAACCTATATGCATGAATTGGGCACTTCTATCTCCTTGTCTTCTTAGATTTATAAATCTCCGAAGAAATATGCAGATTCATGAATATTTTTAATACATCATTGCTAGATCATGCCTCATTATATTTACAGAAATGGTGGAGGTGATAATAGCTGACGGACCACCTCTTGACACAATGCTTTTAAATCTGTCTGTGGGTGGGCTGGCAGATGTTTCTTATGCTGAACTGGTGACTAGAGTGGTAGTTCAGTGTGCTTTACTGATTATTAAAAGTGTTATGTTTGCTTATCTGTATAAGTCAGTGATCCAGCTCTCTGCCCACTGGTGAAATATTTGAGGATAAATACTCATTTCCTGCCATATGCAGGATATGTTCTCTGATAACTGCTTAGTGTTAGTAACATAAGCACATATTTTATTTATTTTTTAAATTTTCTAAAAATTTATTTTTTTATTAGTGAAACACCTTAAGGTACAGTTGTAGACTTACAAATTTTTGTGCGCGGGTTTCAATTATACAATGATCCAGTACCCATCCCTCCACCAATGCCCATCCTCCACCACCAATGATCCCAGTACCCCTTCCATGCCCCATCCCCCCATCCCACCCTGCTTTTGTGGCAGGGTATTCCCCTTTGTTCCCTCTCTCCTTTTGGGTGCTGTGGTTTGCAAAAGAGACACCAAGAGGCAATCATGCTCGTTCTACAGTCTACTTTCAGCATGCATCTCCCATCCTGGGAGGATCCTCCCAACACCCTTTATTTGTTGCTCCCTTTTCTATCTGAGCTTCCTTTTCCCCTAGCATGTGCGGCTGGCCTACAAGCCATGGAGTGACCATGGAGTGAACCTCCTGGTACTTATCTTGGCTATTCTTGGGTGTTAGTCTCCTATTTTGTTACTTTATGTTCCCCAGATGAATGCAATCTTTCTGCCTGTCCCTTTCTTTCTGACTCATTTCGCTTAGCGTGATATTTTCCATGTACCATTTGTATGTAAATTTCATGACTTCATCTTTTCTAACCGCTACATATTACTTCATTGTGTAGCTGTACCAAAGGTTCTTTAACCAGTCATTTGTTCTCCGGCAATCAGGTTTTTTCCAGGTTCTAGCTATTGTAAACAGTGCTGCAGTGAACAAACAAGTGCAGATGTTACTTCGGCTATACTTTTTTGTCTCTCTGGGATATATTCCCAGGAGTGGTATTGTGGGATCAAATGGGAGCGCAATTTCTAATTTTTTGAGAATCATCCATGCTGTTTTCAGAAGGGCTGAACCAGTTGGCATTCCCACCAGCAGTGAAGGAGGGTCTCTTTCTCGCCACATCTGCACCAGCTCCGGTTGCTTTTGTTCTTTGGGATGTGGGCCAGTCTCTGTGGTGTGAGATGATATCTCATTGTTGTTTTGATCTGCATCTCCCTGATGATTAATGATGTAGAGCATTTTCTCATGTGCCTTTTAGCCATTCGGATTTCTTCTTTGAGAAAGTTTCTGTTCCTTTCGTCGCCCCAATTTTTGATGGGGTTGGATGTTTTCTTCTTGTGGAGTTCAACCAGTGGTTTGTATATCCTTGATATCAACCCCTTGTCATATGTGTATTGGGTGGATATCCTTTCCTGTTCTGTAGTCTGTCTTTGTATTTTGTTTACGGTTTCTTTTGAGGTGCAGAAGCTTCTTAGTATAAGATAGTCCCATTTGTCTATCTGTGTTTTCACTTGTTTGGCCTGTGGCATGACATCTTTGAAGATACCATTAGCTTCAGTGTCGTGGAGGGTTTTGCCAACTTTTTCTTCAGTGTACCTTATAGATTCTGGTCTGATCTTGAGGTCTTTAATCCATTTTGATCTTACTTTTGTACATGATGTTAGGCAGAGATATGAGCCCATTATTTTGCATGTAGCCGGCCAGTTTTCCCAGCACAATTTGTTAAAGAGGCTTTCTTTGCTCCACTTCACATTTCTTGCTGCCTTATCAAAGATTAAATGATCATATGTTTGGGGGGAGATGTCAGTATATTCAACCCTATTCCATTGGTCTGCAGCTCTGCCTTTGTTCCAGTATCATGCTGTTTTAATTATTACTGCTTTGTAGTAAAGCAGTAATAGGGAGGTTGGTTCCTCCCATTTTTTTCCCAAGAATTGCTTTAGGTATTCGTGGGGGCTTATTGTTCCATATGAATTTCAGGAGTGTTTGGTCCATTTCTTTGAAGAATGTCATGGGTATCTTTATAGGGATAGCATTGAATTTGTACAATGCTTTGGGAAGTATTGCCATTTTGACAATGTTAATTCTCCTGATCCATGAGCAGGGGATATCTTTACATCTTATCATGTCCTTCTTTTATTTCCTGAAGTAGCTTTTAGTAGTTTTCTTTGTACAAGTCCGTTATTTCCTTAGTAAACTGATTCCTAGGTATTTGATTTTCTGGGGCACAATTGTAAGCACATATTTTAACCTGTGCCCTAGCACTGGCTTGTCTGTGGGCTGGTGATTGAAAACCACTGAGTACAGATGCAGCATCCTTGTTTTATCTGCTCACTTTGTTCCTTTCAATGTGACTCCACCCATTTTGCCTCAGTTCTACCTTCCTCCACAAATACTTGAGAGAGCTGTTGCAGGAACACCTTACTTAGAGTCCTTCCCTCTGTTATACTTCTGCAGTTGTACTAATCAGTGCTTGTGTTTTTTAATTCTCATAATATTGAAGTGTTGTTATTGTGTCTGGCATATCGAATACTCTCGGTAGCTTGCCGGGCTCTCCGAGAGGGGTGGAGGAATCGAACTCGGGTCGGCCATGTTGGCCGCTTGTAAGGCGAACGCCCTACCCGCTGTGCTATCGCTCCAGCCCTAGGGGTCTTAAAATAAGTTTATAAAAATACATAGCTTTCATATGACACAGTGGGCTGGAGCGATAGCACAGTGGTAGGGCGTTTGCCTTGCACGCAGCCAACATGGCCGACCCGAGTTTGATTCTTCTGCCCCTCTCGGAGAGCCCGGCAAGCTACCGAGAGTATCTCGCCCGCACGGCAGAGTCTGGCAAGCTCCCCGTGACGTATTCGATATGCCAGACACAGTAACAACAAAGTCTCCAATGGAGACGTTACTGGGCCCGCTCGAGCAAATCGACGATCAACGGGAGGGCCTTTACCTTTACCTTTACCTTGAAGTGTTGGTCTCTTTTAAACACAGAAGAAATGGACCTTCAAGAGGGTTTGGTTTGAGTCAAACCATCCACACAGTTTACCAACCAATATGTTGTATTAAATATTTACCTAATAGTATGGTTACTATGTGCTGGGCTGAAGACTGGTTTTGTTTCTAATTTCATCCAAATGATTCTACTATTGTAAAAGTTTATTGGACAAACTAAATAATATTCATAATCAAAAGATGTAATGCCTGCCAGATGAAGCATGCAGCTGTGCTTAGCAATGTCAGCAGCCTCCCCCCCTTCATAATATTTATGTATAGTATACATATGTCAGTATTAGAATGTATAATACTTTTTCAAGTTGAGATATATTGACCTGCTCAGGAAATATTTGTCATTTGCCTTCTCTGATTCAGGCAATATGCTAAAAATTCAGATAAATTGAAAATACCCTTCTCTCTTATATTAACCAAATTATTAGAACTTTATACAGGTACTCTGATGAATGTAAACAGTACACCTGAGGCAACAAGAAAATTAACAACTAAATATACCTAGGAAAGAGGTGTGAACACTTCATGACAGAGTTGTTGTTTGACTCTAATCTTAAGGAGGGAAAGGAAAATTTTGCAATGTGAACATGGGGAGTTACCAGTGATCTCTTGGAGTAAGAAATAAAGACTTATACAGAAAGACTTACCTTTTCCCATTTTAGAACTGAAAGCCTCTTCAATTTTTTGTAACTTTCCTGTACTTTCTATACTATTCAACTTTTCTGGTAACAAGATTAGAGATACATCCTAATTAGAGAAAAGTAGACACATCTAGTGTTTACTCATTCAAGTATTTAAAGTTTAGCCCATAATTCTTACCTTAGTTTTCCAGTGTGAAAATTTGAATACCCAGATAATTCATCAGAAATCAGTAGATTCTAGTCAGAGATGTAACTCGGTGGTAAATCAGTTGCCATGTAGGATACCTGGGTATGATCTACAGCCATTAAAACGCAGAAAACAAAACCAAAAAAACTGGATTATTTCAAATACTTTTCAATGCACCAATTATCTATTAATTCCACCCTTAAAACTTTGCTGCCATGGTTTCCATGACATTGTTCTCTGGGTTCTGCTTTTTTTGCTTTAGGACTGCTCAGTCTTCATGTTTTATGGAATTCTCTGTCACTTGGTATTTTCCAGGAATCTTTTGGTGTTTTTGTTTTTTTGTTTATCTTTTGCTTTGAGTGGTCCTATCCATGCACTCTTGTTTTCTGTTATTGTAGTACATTTGATCCATTTAAGCATTTATAGCTTATCCTGCCTTAGACCGTCCTTTGGTATTCATGATCATACATATTGAATCATCTGGTTTATAAGCATCATAGACTCAATAGGTCCAAAATAAACCTACTTTTTCTTCTTCCCTCTACCTGTTTATCGCTGTGAATAGCAACACTATCCAGCTATCAACCAAACCACGTTTCTTCTTCTTCCTTATCATTCCTTCATCTATATGAATTTATTCCTGCCATCACATCTCCATTGTACTGTAGCCTAAATTCAAATTCTCAATCCACTGGACTGGTTGGTCCATCTGTCAACCTCCTTCTCACCCTCTTTTTACCCAGAGTTATATGTATAAACCATGACTACTGACTCCACAATACTCACACTTCCTAGAGATAGACATAGGGTGTTCTACCTGCTGCTCTTGGCTTCTTCTTTAGCAACCTTCTCTCTCCTAACTTGTGTTTTCTCATTTTAGAGCTGGTTACAGATTTTCTTGATGTTACTCAAATTCTGTTGACTGCTATTCAGCATCGGTGTCTTTGTTTTCTCTACTTCTTTTTCTCCACCTATTCTGTCCTTCTGCTTACTTGTTCATGGAACAAAACATTACTTGTGTAAGTCATTAAGAATAAGCAATTATGTCCAGAATTTTGCTGACCTTGGCTTCTAAAGTAGTGCATGCATCATAACAAGCATTCAGTTAATGATTTTTATATCAGATGTCATTTAACTTTATGCGTCTGATCAGCTACTCAGTCCAATGCAGATATAAGGAAAGATCTATTTAGTTTACCTGTGTTGAGCTATGATGAATAATCAGGGTAAATTATAAAAACTAACTGATTCAGTCCCAATTCATGCATTGCAGCTTATAAAAATTTAAGTTAATTCCCTTTCTACCATTACACAAGTGATTTTCATATATTTTTGGTTTGTTTTTATTTTGGGGGCCACACCTGGTTATGCTCAGGGGCTACACCTGGCTTTGCAATCAGGAATTACACCTGACTCTGTTTGGGTGACCATTTGGGATGCCGAGGATGTAACCAGCATGCAAGAGAAGTGCCCTACTCACTTCTATCACTCCAGCCCTAATTTTTAGGTATTTGACAAACAGGAAATGAGTGCTCCAGTTGAGCTTAAGGAGAGACATTAGAACATGCTCTTTTCTACTCTTGGAACATTTAAAAAAATTAAACATGAATATTTGTGTATCATTGTATGAATTTAAAACCTTTTAAAAATTATTTATTTTTTATTGAATCACCGTGAGATACACAGTTGCATAGTTGTTCATGATTGGGTTTTTGTTATACAATGTTTCAACACCTGTCCCTTCAACATTGAGTATTTCCCACTACCAGTGTCCCCAGTTTCCCTCTTGCCCCATCCCAACCCTTGGTGCTCTCTCTCTCTCTCTCTCTCTCTCTCTCTCTCTCTCTCTCTCTCTCTCTCTTCTCTCTCTCTCTCTCCTCTTTCCTCTCTCATCTCTCTCCTTTTGGCATTACAGTTTGTACTGTAGGTGCTGAAAGATTTTCATGTTTGTTTATCTACTAGCAGCACACAGTTCTTTCCCAGAGTGATTATTTCCAACTATCCTTGTTGTAGTGGTCCCTTCTCTATCCTAACTACTCTCTAGCCCTACCACTTGTGGCAAGCTTCCAAACATGGACCAGTTTTCCTGGCCCTTATTTCTTCTGACCTTGGGTATTACTCTCATATTATAATTTTGTCCTACAAATAAATGCACTCATTTTATGTTTGTTCCTCTCTCTCTCTGACTCATTTCACTCAGCATAATACTCTCCAAGTCCATCCACTTATAAGTGAATTTCATGACTTCATTTTTCCTGGTGGCTGCATACTATTCCATTATGCAGTATACGACTATGATACACGTAGTTTCTTTATCCAGTCATTTGTTCTTGGTCACTCAGGTTGTGTCCAGATTATGGCTATTGTGAATTGTGCTGCAATGAACATAGAAGTGCAGATGGTGTTTCTTCTGTGTTATTTTTGCATCCTCGGGGTATATTCCCAAACCTCTCTCTAACACCAGGCACAAAAGTCAGAATAAATGGATTAAAGACCTTAATGTCTGACTTGAATCCATAAGATACATGGAGAAAAATGTAGGCAGAACCCTCCATGACATTGAAGCTATAGGCACCTTCAAAGATGAAACACCACTGACCAGGCAAGTAGAAACAAAGTAAAACTAATGGACTACATTCAACTAGGAAGCTTCTGCACCTCAAAAGAAATGTTGACTTTGAATTTAAAGCTTTATAGCAGAATTTTAAAAGGACAAAGTATGTAAGCTCTATTTAGTACTGAATGGAACGTAATTCAAACCAGAATCTCAGTGGTATTAGTGGATTAGTGGTATTCAGTGTTTAGCTATAATATTCCCAATGTTAATGAGTTGGAAATTATAAAATGTCTTTGATCCCTCAAAATGAGACATATTTTCTGTTTCATTTCCACAGCAATGAATTGTTCAGCTGAAGAGGTTGAAAATGACCACAGCCCAGAAACACTCACTAAAAAATTGTCTGAAGTATGCCAGTTACGGAGAGACATTGATGAGTTAAGGACTACAATATCTGACCGCTATGCTCAGGACATGGGAGACAACTGCATTACCCAGTGATCAAGTGTTGGTCGTACAGCAATAATGACCCACTGTTAAATGCTGCTGTGTCACAATTCTTCATATTTTTTTTAGTAGCCATGATGGAAAGTTGCAAGTCACGTATTACTTGCACATAGGTTTTTTGTTTGTTTGTTTTTAGGTTTTTTTGTTTGTTTGTTTTTTCTGTAGATAATTTTGCTGGGGTTGGGGAAAGTGAGGTTTTTTCCTTAGGAATTTATCTAATCAGGTCATAAATTTGAATTACCATTTGAACAATCTGATAAAGTCTACAAGAAAAAAAAAATGTATTGTCAAACTACTGATTATAGGACCAAGCTGTGAAGAGTGTACTTTGGATAAAAGGGTTAGGATTTATTTTAATCCTGTAGTTTGTGTGTGTGTGTTCATGTGTTACAAAATTGAAGTCAAAAAATTAGAAGAATTTCTCCCATCAAAGCCTATAAGAAAGGCACACTGCTAATTCTTATATTTCTTTTCTTTATTCTATAAGCTTTTATTGTACTTTGGGTTTTTCAAGGACTGACTAAACAAGAATTGCAACAGCAGGAAAGTCTTATAATAGTGATACAGTGGGTAAAACCATTTGTACTTTAAACAGTCTCTATGCTGCTGATGAGGTTGTAGGGTTGTGTTGATTCTAGTACTATAGGTATGTCAGCTGTTTTATCCAGTGACTCATAGCTATAAAATTTTGATGTGATGATTTATTTCTTTACCATTGCAATATATGTATTACAATGTATTTGAACAAAATTTGAACTAATTTTAACTTAGTACCATTAGCAATTTTTTGTTTATACGTAACACAGATTATTGATGTTGAATAAAGCCATATATATTCAGTATTATCCTTATAGGGTCTGAGGTCATAGAAAAGAAAAACACAGTGACTCTGGAACAATAGCAAATTTTGATAAATCAAATTATCAAACATTAAAATGTTAAGACCTTTCAGTCTATTTTAAAGTTGAAACTACTCTAACAAAAAAGCCAACCTGTATATCTGAATTACTATTTATAGCTAAATTATTGCTAGCCTAAAGTAAGATCTAAACCTAGATGACATTTCAATCCCTTTTGTATGGTAAAGAATTTTTTTTAATGAGGGCTTGTGAATAAAAATTGACCAGATTGGTTTTTCTGAATGGGATATCACTGAGTTACTAATTTGTAAGCAGATATGCACACTATCACTCAAACTTCCAAATCTGTTTTTCTGTTATAGTTGGAAAGTCTTTTACCATCAGAGCAGTCATTGCATTTCTGGAAGGATAACTGTAATAATCATTGTCCTTTTAGAGAGGTTGGTTGATTGTGTGATGCAATCAGGTCTTATTTAGGTTATGACTAAAGAAGTAGAAGGAATAAGGATTATGAGTCAAGCAGGAAAGAGCAGATTCCTTGTGCTTTTTTCTTGCCAATCTAATATGAAAGATGAAATATTTTTCCATAAATATTTTCAAGACAGGACATTCAAGGAAGATGCCCAAGAATGCATTCAGTTCAAAATTTATATACAGTTCTTGATAAGTTACCTTGTTTTTCAGCAGTCAGCCACAATGCATTGTAGGACATCAAACTATCATTCTTATCAGTGCCTATGTCCTCCCAGCTTTTTATACTTCTAGGATCTGGGCCCTAAGAAATCAGTGTGTTGTAGAGATTCTGCATCCCATGGTGCCTGACCTACTAAGAAAGGCCTTAGTCACTGGTCTGAACTTGACTTTCTAATGTGTACATTTGTCTTTTAATGTTAAACGTGGTTTCAAGACAATCAGGGAGTTGTGCATTCGTACCAAAAATAGGATACAAAGAATTCTAACTTGTAAAAATTAGTATTTGTAAAAATGGCCCTGTAGTAGATGATTCCTTTGAGTAGATAATTCCACAAGTGCAGTACACATTTTTCCATTCTCTGAATCAAATCCATCCCTCCAATTATATGTACCACAATTTTGGAAATAAAGCACCCTATGATGATAGTAATAAATAGGCAGATCAGCAGAATGGGGTCTCAAGGTTCTTAAATGTTTTGTAGGTTTTTAAGTATATATCTTAGAGTTTTATGGTTTTTGTTTTAAACTTTCAGTCATATGTTTTTATATATAATATGTACATTTTTGTTTTCTAGCTTATTTGAGGGTAAATTTTGATTTTTTTTAAGAATTATTTTTCTAAACTTAAAGAATTTAATTCACATCTTGAGCCAAAAAATTGTCTTTTTTTGGAGCCGTGCCTGGTGGTATGGGCTACTCCTGGCATCCTTCCCCCCATAGTCGCAGAGGACCCAGGAGTACCTTGGATCAATCCCAGAGCTTCCTTGCATGCAAATCATGCACACTACCCCTTTGAGCAATTCCTTTGGCTCCTCAATTTTTTAAATAGGAAATTAAGCAGTTGCTGCATATATTCTTCAGTTTCCAAAATACATGGTCTCCCCCCCCCCCCAGAAGAGGAAATTGGGATAGGATAGTTTAAATATAACCCTGAATTATAAAATGTAATCTCTTGAAATCTGTAGTCTGTAAAAAAAAAAGCTTAGATATAATTTGGAGAGGAAATAAAGATAGTAGTAGTCTAATTTATTAGTAATCTGTTACTATTTAGTAGTATAATTTAATTTTAATTTTTAAGAAACTATATTCTCCCAGCCTGTCGTGTAGAATAGAATATTGGTGTCTCATTGAGAGAAATGTTTTACTTTAAGCCAAGTAAATGGGCAAGTAGAAACACGAACTATCTTGTCCTAGTTTGAAGTACAACATTCTCAAAAAGTTATTACAGTGATACATGCCTGAGGTGAAAAGTATCCCAAAGTTTAAAGTAGCACTGTAGCACTATCCTCCCGTTGTTCATCTATTTGCTCAAGAGGGCCCAGTAACGTCTCCAACGTCAAGGGGAGCTTGCCTGGCTTTGCTGTGCGGGCGAGATACTCTCAGTAGCTTGCCGGGCTCTCCGAGAGGGTTGGAGGAATCAAACCTGGGTCCACCAGGTTGGCTGTGTGCAAGGCAAACTCCCTACCGCTGTACTATCGCTCCAGCCCAAAGTTTAAAGTAAATCAATAAAATTTCCTTAGCTATAAAAGAACTTAATGCTTTTCTATATGAAATGCTGATCTTCATAGGATGTTTGAAGATAATACTTATATTAATAAGAAAATACTCATGCAGCATTAACATTTATTTTTATGGGGGGCATTGGAAGTTGAGTTTTTCTTCCTTAGTCATATTAAAATAGGAATGAAGTAACAGTTTACACAGTAAAAGACCCAAATTACCTATGCAGACAATTAAGTTAGGGGCACAATAGTTTTCATTTGATGTCAGAAAAAGGGATGACTTCTGTTAGATTTTAGTAAATTTTCAGTGACCTCTACTTTTTAAAAGCATAAATGTTGTCTAAGTGATAAATATCAATTGATTTTAAGTGTGGCCCTTTTATATCTGATATAGAATTTAATGGTTAATGTTAACAGTATTTTAGTGAAACTTATTTTGGTCATGGAAATTTATTTAAAGCTGAATTAGACTTTTTTTAGTAGTTAAAGACAATCTCAAGGGCTGGAAAGTGTTGCTGAAATTGATATTGTGCATTTCTGACCTGCTATTGAATTTTTAAATTAATTTTGTTATAGTTCAAGACATAGTAATAGGAATTTCTTAGAGGACATTTTTAAAGGAACTACTTAATTGGGAAGATGCTCTTTTAATAACTGTTCATTAAATAATATAGTGGCTGAGAACTTGGACTCTATTTTTATAGTAGTGTAGTTACTGCTCCAGGCATACCTTTAATGGAAATTATTGGCATTCTCTTATGTAGATTTCTATCACTGTAAATATATAATTATGATAATTCGCACAACCATGCTCATTCAGACTGTTTCATTTGAAACTGCTAATAGCTGTAGCTCTCAGAGAAAAAGTTAACATTTAGGATTTTTGATAATTTCTTTTTCATGAAACAAGTGAAACTCTTTCATTATTTGATATAGAGAGTAAAATTTCCAGCTTCAGTCCAAAATGCAATATGGCATATTTCTGTATAATAGTATACATCTAATCATGATGGGGGAAACATTGTGAACTTTTTCTTATTTAAACAAAGTATATTATCAGTCTAGTTTCAATTCAGTATGTCATTAACAACACTTATTAAACCAACACAGAGAGAACCTTATGTGCCTTTTTGCCTGCAGTAAGTATTCATTTCTATTTTATACCAACTGTGTTGATAATTATTGCACCTTGTTTTTCTGTAAATAGAATTGATTAGGGATTTTTCAAAAGCAAGGAGCAGTTTTTTATTGCTAAGTACTCTAGTGAACAGGAGGAGGAGATGTCTAAGATAAATGTCTTTGGAACCTAGTCTTTTCCCTAGTAGATAACTCTTTGGAATGTAGTCATTTGTGTGTGTATATGTGTACATGGATGTATAAATAGCATTTAAATATATAAAGATAAAATTCAGCATCACGTTTGTGTGATGACAATAGTAGTAAGGTGCTAGGGGATTACATTAAAAGCACAGCAGAGTATACAATCAGTCACTATGACTGGTAGTTTTTGTTAATTAGGTTCAGTGTCTGAACTTCCCAGAATACCTCATGTGTAAATACAGTGGTCATGACTAATTGAAATACAGTTATTGTAAAAAGAATATGAAGCCACTGGTTGGCTTATGCCTTCTGATCTATCTTTTGCCTCTTTTTTGTAAAGGGGTTGGGTTTTTGTTTTTGTTTTTGTTTTTTTAATAGGGTTTACAGCTAGAATTTTGAATGCCAAAGTTCTATTTATTAAATTAAAAAATTTTCAATGTTAATGGCTAAGTATTTTTCCACTGGACTATTGTTTGTTGATGTTGGAATTTGTATTTACAGAGAAATAAATTTTTTATAAAATGATTTGTCTTTCAAGTGCCTTATTTTAATAATATAAGAATGTTTGAAATTCACATGATGACATGGTTGTGCTGACTTGACTTTTAGGTAAATGCTTCATAAAGATATACTAGTAAATCAATGACTAGAACAAGGATCTTGTATTTTCTTTTTAGTTACTAAAATTTATTTTTCTTCTAGAGTCTTTTCACAGACATTTATTTTATTTTTTTAATATTTTGGTTTTGGGGACCACACCTGGAGGTGCTAGAGCTAACTCCTGGCTCTGTGCTGGTGGTGCTCAGAGGACCATGTAGTGCCAGGGTTCTAATCTGAATTGGTCCACTGCATGGCAAGCTCCCTACCCCCTGTGTTATCTCTTTGCCTTGGGGTTGGGAAGTGGGAGGCCCTATTGTAATGACAGTTACTATAAGTACAAAGGTATGCCTCTATCAGTTTTAACTATTGGCTATGTGGTTCCTTTTGAATTCCCAAATTCCTATTTAAATTAAAATTCTTTTTATTATTCTGTATTATTTGTATTGCTGAATGTTTCTTGCCCTCCCTTCTAGTCAAAGGTTGAAGCTTAAACACAATAAGGCCTTGTTAAAAACTTACTCTGCAGGGAGAGGCCTTGACATCTCTGCTTTGTAGTATTCCAGCCACATCCTAAGAGTGTCTCTGTGGATAATGGCCATGTCCTTGTTCTGACATGCCCGGGGTGAAGTCTCAATATATTTAGGAACTGGGTTCATATTTGGGTTAATAAAATATATTTCCAGTTCCTCCACGTTGGCACTGCTTTATCACAATTTAAACTAGACATATAATTCAGTTAACATCTAATTCAGGTGGTAAGAAGTACCACTATGAAAAGTGCATCACAAAGTATTTGGTTGTAAGCTAATGACTTAGGCATAGCAGATAATATAAAGCAGAGTGAATAGAGTCCTAAAATATTTCTAAGGGTATGTCTAAGATTGTAAAGTTATTTCTCCTTTAAATAAAAGGATTTTTCTTTTGATCTGTTGAAAACAAATACCAACTGGAAAAAAAAGTGGTCAAGAGCTTTTAATAGGGTATATCCAGTGATCTTGCCAGCAATTTGGCTTCTTTTTATACTGACTCACTCTGCAAATACCTTATAAAATAGCAGATACTTAAAAAGTGTGAAAATGGCAGAGTGAATTCAGTAGAGCTAATATTTTACAAATGAATAGCACTCTAACATGTCATTTAAAACATTTTCTTTGATTAGAGAAGATTCTGTTTGAAGCCTAAGTTATCAGTTTCTAAAATGTTTAAATAAAGCTGTTGTCCCTGATAAAAAATTGGCATATAACAAAAGAGAAAAATCTATTTTAGCCAGCCTGGTTTTATTTGAACATGATTGTACATATATACTGATTCCCCTACAATAGAAGTTTTATGACCCAGAAATCTCACTCTCGTTGTTTTCTTGGGATAAACACAGGCATAGGCCTCAAAAATAGACTTGTAGAAGAATGCTTACAGCAGTTTTATTCATAATAACCTCAATCTTGAAATAGTTCAGATAGACATCTGTTGGTAAGAGTTCTATCTATATCCAAAGTTCTGTCTTTATTCTCTTAGTAAATTTGGGTGAAATTGTTAATTCTACATGGTTTTTGGAAAATGGCATGTTTTGATACACTACTAAGCAACAGATAATGGCTAGGGGAAAAAAGGCAATTTTATTTTCACTTACCCCAAAATATTGCTCTTTGTTATGCCGCTACATGTGATTCATGTGTCTCTATAGTCCATCCTTCTAAAACTTGGGGGGCAGAGGGGAAAGCATGCCAGGCAGTGCTCAGAGCGTACTTCTGGCTCTGCTCTTAGGGCTTATTATTGCTGGAAATCAGGCTATCATATGTGTTCTGGGGGTCAAACCTGGTTGGCCATTCACAAGGCAAGTGTCCTTTTCACTGTACTATCTTGCTGGCCTAAAATGAAATTTTATTAGAAAGGAAATTAAATTGTTTACTTGCTGGCTTCCCATCAGACTGAGCTCTTTTATGACAGACACATTATATTTTATTGAACTTTGTATTTAATGAACAACAGGGGTATACTAACTTCCAGAGTTGTGCAAATATCTGTCCTTACCTCTTGGGAGGAACAGCTCTCTCTCCAAGGAGAAAACTTGGTCTTTAAAGCAAGTTTGTTATAACAAATAAATGTGTGGTCATGTTCCAGGGGCGATAGGAAAGAGGTCGCTCTTAAGGCTATGGAACTTTTTGTAGAGCCACAATAACGTGATAGGTCCTACTTAACCAAGCTCCATTTTTCTTCCTCTTGAACTGCTTACCAATTTGTCGTGTAGCTGCACTCTTCTTTACCTTTATGGGTACAGGTTACAGAATCAGAAACAGATTCTCATCCCAGAGCTGCTGCAGCAGTGCAGTCTTATCAGACCTCAGGTTAGCTCTGTAGTTTTTTTAAGGCAAATCCATGGTCTGACTTAAAAGAGGAAATCAATGTCAGCTTGAAAACTTAGTGCAGGGGCCAGAGTGATAGTATAGCATGTAGGGCTTTTGCCTTGAACATGGCCAACCTGGGTTCGATCCCCAGCATCCTCTGAGCCTTGCCCTGGATAGACTGCAGAGTCAGGAGTAAGTCATGACTGAGAATAGCCAGGTATGACCTCAAAAGAAACAACAACAACAAAAAAATGGAATGCAATTGTGTCTAATTTAAGTATCAGAAATGCACAAATCTTAATAATGATAATTTAAACAAATGGTAAAGCTGACATCAATACCAAGATAATTTATTTTTTTATGCCTACATGGATTATTTTGACATAACACAAATAGTTAAAGTTGTTTAATGGCTTGTGATGACTATAAAGCAATGTGCAGGAAGTATATCTTCCATATTGTCATTGTTATAAATTTAAATTTGAGCACATGCCAAGTACCAGGACCTTGCAAAAATTATCTCAGTTATCTCTTAATGTAATATTCTATAACATGGCATCCCTACTCAGCCAAAATGTTTAAGGAACAGGTGTAATATCTTGACTAAGCTGAAGTTTCTTAAAAGAGATCAAACTAACGTAAGAACTAGCCAAGACCCCAAAGTCTGACTCTGATACTAGTCTTTCTTTTGTTGCAGTTTTGTGTATTTACAAAATAAACTCCTGACTCACCTGATTTCTCAGCTTCTGTAACTTTTACTTTATTTATTTATTTATTTTTAATTTATTAATTGAATCACTGTGGGAAAGGTTACAAAGCTTTCAGGTTTAGGTCTCAGTCATGCAAATATCAAACACATTTTCCTTTACCAATACTTATTTTTTACCATGAAGAACCCCAATAAAACCCCACCCCCACCCCCACCCCTCCCAGTCCCTGTGAGGCAGATGAATTCTAGTTAACACTCTATCTGCTTTGATTAGATTCACTGTTTCAATAAAAGATTCACCACTATTAATTAGAGTTTACCCCCCCCCCCAAAATCAGACATGCTGAAAAAGCATTGTGAAGTGATTTGCTTTCTACAGCTGGGTTCAAGAATTAAATGTTGGTTTTGGATTTCTGCTATTTTACCTATTGACCCTGGAAGTATTTCTACTGAAAGTCAGATAGTTAAGAAATTGGTTTCTGTGCTCTGGAGTCGTGGCTGTGCTGGAGAGCCGCTCGTGGGGGGCAACTGGTGGCCTCAGTAGGGTGTGAAGGGCAGACCGAAACGCCCCCCTTCCCATGAGGTTTTAGTCGTCCCCACACCCCCGGCTCATACCTGCTGTCCACAAAGCTCCCATGCGGCCGCCATCTTTCTTTCCAGAGAGGAGAGGGCGAATGGGGCAACACCCTTTCCCCTCCGGCAGACTTGTAACTTTTACTTTATTCCAAGGAACCTGCTGATTTTTTTCCTGAGTCACTATTCATATTGGTTTCCTATCACCTCTGGAACATTACCACACATTAATTTGTTACAACAAACTAAGTTATAAAAACAAATAAAAAACCACCTTCAGTTATCTTCCAGCTCTGCAGTTCAGAACTCTGCAGTGGTTTTTGTTTAATTTAAATGAAGGTGTTACAAGACAATTTTCTCTGGAGAATCTACCAATATATGTCTTTTCTCATTCCATCTTATAAAGGCTATCACCCTTACAGAGAGTCGCATAATGGCTTCATAGCCTATTGTCTCTTCAAAGTCAGTAGTATTGAGCCAAATTACTCTCACACTACCATTTATATTTTTCCCCCTTTCTTCCAACCTTTTTTGGGGGTAGTTAATGTGGGCCACATGTGTGTGTTCAGTCCAGCAGTGCTCAGTATCATGGTGATAGAAAGCAAGCCCACGTTACTCACATGCAAATTGCATGCTCTCACCCTTTGAGCTATCTTCCTAGCTTTTATCTGTGTATATTTCATATTATTTAAGTCTTAGGCTCTCAGTTTTGATATATTTTTAATTGAAATAACATGACATAACTTTCAGCTGATCTTTTTTAAAAAATTGTATATTTGCTACATTAAGTTCATCAATAAGTTTATTTTCTTATGCCAGTTATTTTTCCATTGTGATCTTTATATAAGAAAACCTTCAAGCATGATTTGATACTCTGGATCACACACTTATCACACTTAACTTCCCGTTAGTCGTCGATTTGCTCGAGCGGGCGCCAGTAACGTCTCCATTTGTCCCTGTCGCGTGCTAGTGTAGCCCAATGGCATCTCTTCGCTCCGGGAACATGGAGGGCCTCAAACCGATCATTCATGACCTTGACAAAGAAGTCTGACCATCTGGTAGGTGGGCGGCCACGCGGTCTCTTGACATCCCGTGGAATCCAATCAGTAACAGCTCTAGTCCAACGGTCGTCTTTAAATCTCATTACGTGACCAGCCCATCTGATTTTCGACACCTTGGCAAATGAAACAGCGTCCCTGATCCTTGATCGTCGATGGATGTCAGAACTCCGGATTCGTTCTCTCATTTGAGTGAAACGTGATATTCCAAGCATAGCTCTTTCTATTCTTCTTTGGGAG